CCCTGCCTGGCCAGCTGGGGGGAAAGTCCTGACGTCATACCGAGAACGTCCCGACGTCGTACCACGAGCATCCTGACATCATGCTGGGCAGAGTGCCAGCCAGCCACTCTCCAGCAGCCCCTTCGTCTAACGAACAACCAAATTACCCGACCCCAGCAGAGTCGGGGTGCAGGAGTCAGCCGCGCATGGCCCGAGACCTTCTCGAACAGAAAGTGCTGCCCGCACCCCTGTGAATTCCCTGTGGGTGTTTGCAGCTCGCAGGGCTGCGGCGTTTCCAGGTTGAGTTGATAATTTAGGCAAAATTGCAGGAATCAGGTCAAAACCCCACGACATTCCCGGTGCCACGGACAAGTGCTGGACACGCAGACCGCCGGGGTCCTCGCATGGGGCCACGTACCCACCGTGGCATGGCTGCGGTAGATCTCCCCCTGTTCAAAACACGTTATTAAACACGCCGCAAGCTGGTCCTGGCGCGTCCCAAAGGGACCGGGCAAATAAATTACCCACTTACCGAGCGTAATTGGTGAAGGATTAAAAATCGATGGGCGAGCTTGGGAGCCCGGCTTCGGCCCCCTCGCCCAGGAGGCGATGCTTGGCCACTGAGCCCACTCCCCCCAGCTGCCTTTGCCAGGAGATGGTTTATGTTTAACTAGACAACACGCAAGCCCTATTCCCTTAGCTAATTTTCCTGGTACCTTAACAGACAGAGCATTAATCGTCTCCTGCCATTATTTATTTATTTCCCTGGCAACGCTCTTGACAGGGCACCTTATTTTCTTTGTCAAATGCCATTAGCGCGCGGCAGGAGCGCGCGGCCGCGCAAGACAGATGCTGGTAATAATCATGAAATTCTCATTATTTACTCTCCCTTCTCTCGTGTTTGGGTTATTTATGTCCCCTGGGCATGGCCGGAGGCTGCGGGTTATTCTACGAGTCAATCATACAAAGGCAATTGCCGCTGTTTTGCGGGCTCTCTTTGTTTCCCAGCCGCATCCCGCATCGGTGCTGCGGGAGCCGGCTCCTGCGTCCCTGGGAAAAGCCCCAGCTCTGGTCCCTGAAGCGGGAGCTGGCTCTTCCCGGCTTCACCCCTAGGTGATTTCCCTGCTGGAGTGGTTTTCCCAACCCGAGCGTTTTGTAGGATGGAGGTGATAAACCTTGTGTCTTTCTTTGCCACCGGATCGGCATCGCTCCCTCCCCGGCCTCTGGCATCGCCTGGCTCTTTGCCTTCCGCACACCATTTGCAAACCAGGGACGCGGGGAAGGGGCGGTGAGTGGCATCCCGCTCTCCGATGGGCTTGGTTTTGTTTTTAGAAGACAGGAAGCTCTTTGTGGGCATGCTGGGGAAGCAGCAGAGCGAGGA